AGTTATTAATGAATTATTATTAAATAAATAAGAAGTTATTAATGAATATATTAGTACACATACGACATATATTTCTATATAATACAATAATTGAAATCGTATGTACTAGTTATAAATTATACGTATTAGTATATAAATTATACATTTTAATTTATGACTTATAACATATTTTTGTCACACTTTTTATGGAAGTAAAATCATAATTTCATATATGTTTTCGTGTAACAGATGTATCCATTTCAAAGCAATACATGTTGACAATCCACAGTAGCTCAGGTTTTCAGTTCATCACCTGATAGACTCGGATTTAAATCTTCGCATTGTCAGCATTATATTTTCCTACAAATATTACAATGAAGAAAAGAACCTGAAAATGAGATCGAGAAGTTACAAGAGAATAACTTTACCATATAATGCAGAAAAAGAAACAAAAAGAAAGATACAATTGATAGATTTCATATCGCCCGCGTCGACAGAATACATTTCCAGCATCGCCAGAAAGGTGGCGAAAACAAAATAATTACTTAGAGCCACTGTGGCTCTTGTTTTATTTTGCAATTATTAAATAATAAAGATTTGAAATGATAAAATATTGTTAACGTTTATTTAGTATTTTGGAGCACTCGTATATTGCATAAAATATGATTATATGTTAGTGTATTTTTAGTGTATTTAGTGTATGTTTAGCGCATTCTTGTTATCGTGTTCAGGAACACTTACGATTTTTTCTTGCATTTCTTGGAAAAGTAAGTTTTGTATTGGGAGTACAAATAAGTTTCCGCCGTTTGCAAAAGATGGCGCCACTAATAACTATAGTTAAAATTGTTTGATGTAAAACGACATATAAGTAAGATTTGACAACATAATACCATATAATTGAAATATTAGCGATTTTGTATCAGCATCATATATTTGTTTTTGTACGAAAATGTCGAATTTTGAGCTGAATAAGCGTCATTTGCGGGAACTTTTGATTTACTTCTTTAATTTGAAGAAATCTGCAGCTGGGGCTCATAGATTGCTTGTAGAAGCATATGGTGATGCTGCCTTAAGTGAGAGAAGTTGTCGTGAATGGTTTCAAAAGTTTAAGAACGGTGAATTTGACGTCGAAGACAAAGAACATAGCGGAAGGCCGAAAGTACGAAGACGCGGAATTGGAAGCATTATTGGATGAAGATTCGTGCCAAACGCAAAAAGAATTTGCACTTACATTAGGAATGACTCAACAAACAATTTTATATCGTTTGAAATCATTGGGAATGATTCAAAAGCAAGGGAATTCAAAAGCAAGGGAAAGGGTTCCATATGAATTGAAGCCGATAAACGTTGAACGCCGATTTTTCATGTGAAATGCTGCTTGCCAGGCATAAATGAAAGGGTTTTTTGCATCGTATAGTCACTGGTGATGAAAAATGGATCCACTACGATAACTCAAAGAAGAAGAGATCATGGGGACCACCTGACCATGCTTCAACATCGACAGCCAAGCCGAATATTCATGGAAAAAAACTCATGTTGTTTATTTGGTGGGATCAGCTTGATGTCGTGTATTATGAATTGCTCAAACCGAACGAGATCATTACTAGGACTCTCTACCGAACACAATTAATGAGATTGAGCCGAGAACTCAAGGAAAAACGCGTTCACTATTACTCCAGGCACGACCAAATTATTCTCCTGCATGATAATGCTCGATCACATGTTGTCGCGTCAGTCAAAACCTACTTAGAAACACTCAAATGGGAAGTTCTACCCCACCCGTATTCTCCAGACATTGCTCCTTCCACTTGTTTCGATCGATGACGCATGGCCTGTCTGAGCAGCACTTCACATCATATGAAAATACCAAAATTGTATCGATAATTGGATAGCCTCAAAAGATGAAGCATTCTTCCGACGCGGAATCCAAATGCTACCAGAAAGATGGGAAAAAGTAGTGGCTAGCGATGATCATTACTTTGAATAAAGCATTATGTACCGTTCTTTCAATAAATGCTTAATTTTTGATAAAAAACGGCGGAAACTTATTTGTACTCCCAATAATAAATGTAATAAAATATTTAAAAATTAATGCGAATCTAGCATGTTGTAAAAAAGATTTGTTTTTTCTTATAAATTATTTTATTTCAAAGTTAAAAACCGTTTTGTAAAAGTAAATTATGCACAAGAAAATCGGTATTATTATATTAAATAATCATATCATTTATTTTTAATAAACAACTTTAAAGCAACAAAGAACCTATTATAAAATATTTTTTTATTATTTTGTATATAAAAATGTTTTATCAAGGTGCAGCACTCCAAAATCAAATAAAACAGAAATAAATAGAAATTTAGACAAAATTTTAATTTACAAAATTATTGATACCTATTTACATGTATACGTTTTACAACTATAATATATGTAGCAATAATTTAGTATATTAAATTTATTTGTAAGAGATCACTTCAGACCACTCTAAAATTTATAAAGAAATTTAATTCATTAAATGACTGATACATATGAATGTAATGCATATGAATACGTTTATGAATATTTTTGTTCAAATTTCTATTTGTCTTATGTTTTTATTTTACTTTAAAGTATTGAGAAAATAGTTTTATATAAAAAGTAAGTTTTATATAAAAAAGAATTTTACCAATGACGTTTGCTTTCAAATTATTTAAAATTAATTGGTGCAATTATTTTGTATAATAATGCCGATATTCTTATGTATTAACTTATTTTGTACAAATAGTTTTTATCTTTAAAGTTAAAGAAAATTAAACTTTACTAAAAAGAAAGAAGGTAATCTTTTATAATAATCTCGAATCACATAATTTTTTTAATCGTTTGTTACATTTATTTTATCTTTTCTTTTCAAGAAATGCCAGAAAAAATTGCAAGCGTTTTCGAACAAAAATATGTATATCAGTAATGCACTAAAAGACTGGCATTCAATCACATTTTGTACATGCATAGATGCCCTAAAATTATTCATTTATTAA